AAAGAAAGAAAGAAAGAAAGAAAGAAAGAAAGAAAGAAAGAAAGAAAAAAAAAAGGAAGAAAGAAAGAAAGAAAAGAACCCTGTGAATTCTGCTGCTGCTGTCTGGTGATATTATTAGAGTTACTGAAGAAAAAATAAATCAAGGGCAAAATGCTTTTACATTACTAATATATTATTCTTTTTTTAACTGTAAAAGAAGGATGGGATCAATAGATAAACAGGCAAAAGAGAACACCAGAAACCAGACAATTATTTTGGTTGTTCCATTGTGCGATTGGGAGTAATATTCATTTAATCGTCCACTAGGCAGTATTTCACAAAATTTTATCCAACTATTTTCACTCCTACTGCAGTGAAAGAATGCCTCTCAGAATGCTTCCAATCGTTAAATATGCTTTGAAATATCCCACAGGTTTCACAATCTATTGGCTGCAAAGGCAACAAATTCTCATTTCAAGAAGGTCAGTTGTAATGATTCCTATAATATTTTTTCATTTCAATGCCTCTCACAAAAATTACATAACATATAATTCATATTATGACATGATATAAGTGCTGGAAAAATATCCTGGGTGAAGATTATTGTTTCTAATTTTTGCAAATAAAGCCTTCTGACAGCCTTAGGCTCATAGGTCTTGGATAGATTAATGAAGAAACTATGGAATGTGAAAATAAAAATTGGGAATCTGTAATGCTAATGACTGTATTTGGAGATATTGCATTTTCATGTTAAATTTATTCAAACTTATGAACTCAGAACTTCTCTCCTGCCTTCATGATATTAGTTTTGTATGTAAGAGTACTTTATTGTACATTTGAAAATGAAGTTGAATATATTTTGGTACAAGAGCAAAGTGTTCCTATAACACTATCACATGCTGCCGGGGGACTATTTTTTTGTTCTGTTTCATTTGTTGGGTGGGTACACACATAAGGAAATTTAGAAGTAATGGTGATTAGTGAAGCTATTGATTATCATGGTGGGACAACCTTTATCCTTGTAGTCTTGAGAGGTGTGGTGAGCAGAAGAAAGGTGTGCCTTCCCCTTATTAACTCATTGTTTATCTTCGCTATTGATTGGGATACAAGTGCATCCATCAAGTGCTCACATGTTCACTCACAGAAACTCAAAGCAATTGAGATGATGCAACAAAGGTATAAAATCTACTCTTATTTCTGGATTTAGATGTTGAGCTTGTCAGCTGAAAAGCTGACAGCCCAGGTTTGAGACCTGACCACCATATGATGGAGTGAGGTCCTGTTACTTGCCCCAGCTCCTGCCCACCTAGCAGTTCAAAAGCATGCAAATGTGAGTAGATAAATAGGTACCACTTCAGTCGGAAACCAACAGTGTTCTGTGT